TATAAGTAGGGAACTGTAAAATCAGTGCCATATTGTCCCTGGAAATCATTGTTTGGTGGTTGAATGGTTACTTGTAGTGTTCTCATCCTGTTCATTCTGTCTTATTCCCCCTGTAGAAACCTCCTGTATGTCTACCCTCAAAGCCTTAATTTTGCCAATCGCCAAGGATCTGCAAGGAACATAACGGTGAAGGTTCAGTTCATGAGTGGGGAAGACCCAGGCAACGCCATGCCGGTAAGGAAACTGGTTTCTAAATATGACAATCAGCCCCTCTTCCCTCCTACAAAGCACTTTGCAGGCTGGGGGAATAGCAGGGTATGACTTGTCCTCTGAGCTATTGGCTGCTCATACTGAAATTTGTAGTTCTTCAACAACTTGAGAGCCCTGGGTTATCTCTACCCACTGATTTTAAGTGTACTTTTTGAAAACATTCCTTGCCCTTCCTTCTTTCCCAGCCCACTAAACCAAAATAAGCTAGAAATCCCGCTTTCAGCTGCTTACTTATCTAGAAATGAAAGTGGTGGCCTCATCCCCTTTTCAGGTCCTCCAGATGAAAATTTTCTTCAACCCTCGCAGTGAGCACCCATAGACTGGAATGTGGTCTTTTTCGAGAGTGCTGAAAGGGTAAGGGAGTCCGATGCTGTAGAAGGAGCTTAAGGAACTTAGGGGGAAGGGAGTCTAAGGGTACAGCCGATGCTGAAGGAGCTCTAGGGTAGAAGGAGCTTTTAAGGGGTACAGCCGATGTTGAAGGAGCTTAGGCTAAGGAGCGAAGCTGGGTAGGGTAGAAGGGAGTCTAAGGGTACACCGATGCTGAAGGTTGCTTAGGGTAGAAGGGAGTCTAAGGGTACAGCCGATGATTAAGGAGCTTAGGGTAGAAGGAAGTCTAAGGGTACAGGCGTTGCTTAAGGAGCTTACTGTAGAAGGGAGTCTAAGGGCACAGCCGATGTTGAAGGAGCTTAGGCTAGAAGGGAGTCTAAGGGAACAGCCGAAGCTGAAGTTGCTTAGGGTAGAAGGGAGTCTAAGGGTACGATTAAGGAGCTAGGGTAGAAGGGAGTCTGCCGATGATTAAGGAGCTTAGGGTAGAAGAAGGGAGGCGTTGCTTAGGAGGGTCTAAGGGCACAGCCGATGTTGAAGGAGCTTAGGGTAGAAGGGAGTCTAAGGGTACAACCGATGCTGAAGTTGCTTAGGCTAGAAGGGAGTCTAAGGGAACAGCCGAAGCTGAAGTTGCTTAGGGTAGAAGGGAGTAAGGCTACAGCCGATGCTGAAGGGCTTACAGCCCGAGCTTAGGGTGATTAAGTACAGCTTAGGGTAGAAGGGAGTCTAAGGGTACAGCCGATGATTAAGGAGCTTAGGGTAGAAGGGAGTCTAAAGGTACAGCCGATGAGGAGCTTGAAGTAGAAGGGAGTCTAGGGTAGCCAATGCTGAAGGAGTTTAGGGTAGAAAGGAGTCTAAGGGTACAGCCGATGTTGAAGGAGCTTAGGGTAGAAGGGAGTCTAAGGGTACAGGCAATGCTGAAGGAGCTTACTGTGTAGTCTAAGGTACAGCCGTCTAAGGGGTAAGGATACAGCCGATGCTGAAGGAGCTTAGGGTAGAAGGGAGTCTTAAGGATACAGCCGATGCTGAAGGAGCTTAGGGTAGAAGGGAGTCTCAGGGTACAGCCAATGCCAAAGGAGCTTAGGTTAAAACTAATCCACACTTTACTAATCGTGAGTAGGTTCCCCTAGTGGCTGCTAAGGGTTCCTTCAGCTTTGGCTTGTTGACCTATTTGATGGTGCCTTAATAGTTCTAAGGCCAGTGCCACTTGGCAGTCAGTGGGAGAGTGACATTCTGGCTGCACCTTTAAGGGGGGGTGCATTCCTCACAATGACCACCAATAAAGTGGTTTTAGTAGGGGTTCCCCGAAAATGATTTCAAAGGGTAAAAAAAGCTGAGAAAGGCTGCTCAATGCAAGGTGAAGATAGACAAACATCTATTCTCTATGTTTGGTGTAGGAACAGCCATCCCAGTATGAGAAACTGAAACTGAGATCTAGACCGTTCCGACACCAGAAACTACGGCTATGTTTTGAATAGAGTTGTTTTTTAAAGTATATGTAAACGCTCACCTTGTAAAACAACCCATTCAGTTTAAAACCGAAATAACAGGCAAAACATTTGTGTATAGATGTAAAAAAAAATGTATAAAGTTCCCCCTTTTTTTTTAGGTGATCACATTCCTCTCTGTTCTCAGCTGCATAAGAAATAAGGAGAGCTGGGAGAGGAGAAACAGCAGAATACTAGTCTTCCCAGTGAAAGGCTGTGTAGGGGGTGTCAACAAATGTCTGATCATTGGAGAACAGCTGGCTAAAGAACTGACCACGCTGTGCTCTCATGCCTAGTGTGGTCATTTTTTAGTAAGGCAGAGGGACTGGCAGGAATAACAGGGATTCACACAAAGGAAGCAATACAAAGAGAACAGATACTTTTTCATACAAGTACATGGTACAGCAGGCACATATCATTAATATGAAATGTTGGGTTTACATATTCTTTATTCATCGCCTTTTCTATTTAACTTTCAGGTTATCTTTGGAAAATCAAGCTGTCCAGAATTTTCAAAAGAAGCCTACACAGCCGTCGTCTACCACAATAGGTGACTTTCCTATTTGCAATTTAAGCTCCAGTTTACGTTATATGGCCAAACGTTTGTGGGCACCTGACCCTCACACTTATAGGAGTTTTCTTGGACATTGCATTCAAAACCATGGGCATTAATGTGGAGTTGCTGTCTTCCCACCCTTCCCTGCTGGTGGCTACAACATCTTCCACTCTTCAGGGATGGCTTTCCACAACATTTTGGACTGTCTGTTCTCATTTTGAGGTCGGGTACTGATGTTCGATAGACCTGGCCTACCACCGGTGCTCCAATCCATCCCAAAGACGTTCTGTAGGGTTGAGGTTTGGACTGTCTTGAAGTCCTCCACGCTAAACTCATCCAACTTTGTTTCTCTTTCAAGCTGACTTTGTTCACACCGGCATAGTTCATAAATATACACTCACCAGACAGTTTATTAGGTCCACCTTGCTAGTACCGGGTTGGACCTTCTTTTTACTTCAGAACTGCCTTCACTCTTCATGGCATAGATTCCACAAAGTGTTGGAAACATTCCTAAGAGATTTTGGTCCATATTGACATGAGTTACTGTTGTCTTTCTATCATCTCGAACCAGTCTGCCCATTCTCCTCTGACTGACATCAACAGGGCATTTTTCTCCACACAACTGCCGCTCACGGGATATTTTCTTTTTTTGGACCATTCTCTGTAAACCCTAGAGGTGGTTGTGCGTGAAAATCCCAGTAGATCCTCAGTTTTTGAAATACTCCAGTCTGTCTAGCACCAACAACCATGCCATGTTGAATGTCACTTAAATCTCCTTTCTTCCCCATTCTGATACTCGGTTTGAACTTCCGTTAGTTGTCTTTGTGACGATCGCGGCGTCACACCCACCAGCCCTTCTCACCAACTCGTGACCGAAGGACTAGCCAATCTAAAACCGCGCTGTCACGTGCGTAACAATGCCACGCTCAGCTGCACCCTGTACAAAGATTTTCCAGCTAATGGACCACAATCTATGTACCTGCAGCCTGAGAGCGATTGTTACTGGGTCAGGTTAGTTACGCAATTAACCCTTCACACTGCCACCACCGCCTTTTTGTAGAGAAAAGGAGGAAACTCGCCAATATTAGCAATAACACTATGATGTTTGAATTATCATCTGTATACCACTTTCACCGCAGGCAGAGGTATATAGAGGTTTAAAAACACACAGTAGCGCTCTTCAGAGACAGAGATTCTTAGTTTGCATTAAAGAGCTTTAGAAACAGTTCAACACTTTTCAGAAAATAAGATTTATTACTAAAAAGGTCAAAAGGGTGCAATAAAAATATTTACAGAAAAATACGTAGCCAATATATATATATATATATATATATATATATATATATATATATATATATATATATAAATACAGAGAGCAATAACACAGCGCAAAGAGATAACAGAAAGAAGTTTAGAGAAGCTCTCCAGCTGGGCCTGATGCCTTTTGAACTCAGCATACACACAGACCACATTGCTCAGGGAGGGGGGGTGGGAGGGAGAGAGAGCATGATACAAGATGGAGGCCCCTGAGCAAGATGGATGACCACGTCCATCTCTGTACATACGCTTACTACAGTCTTCACCACATCTAGATGCCTAAAAGCATTGAGTTGCTGCCATGTGATTGGCTGATTAGCAATTTGTGTTACCAAGCAATTGAACAGGCGTACCTAGCAAAGTGTCCGGTGAGTGTAAATATATTCTGTTTGTTGCAGGTCTCCAGATTTCCATGAAGAAATAAAGATCAAATTGCCAGCCATGTTGACAGACCATCACCATCTACTATTTACCTTCTACCATGTCAGCTGCCAACAGAAACAGAACACACCACTGGAAACCCCAGTGGGTTACACGGTATGACTGCTTTTCTTGGAGAATAGTTATGGGTTTGAACTTCTCTGCATTCCTCGCTTCTAGATGGAATGTTCACTTCTTTCTTGTCTTTCTCAGTGGATTCCGATGCTCCAGAACGGACGCCTAAAGACTGGACAGTTCTGTCTCCCTGTCTCTTTAGAGAAACCACCCCAGGCTTATTCTGTGCTCTCCCCTGAGGTCAGTGTTTGTAGGAGGTTCATGTATATATGTTTGATGTCAGTTCCTAGTACAGGCAGAGATGACCATGTTGCATGATGATGTCGTGGTTTTATATTTTCGGTGTAGTTTTGTTATATATGTATATTTCTTTATAGTATTATTCACATATTACAGTCATTTATATAGCTTTGCCAAATTGTTCAGTGCTATGCATGCTGTACATTGACATCAGTCCTTGCCCTGAAGGAGCTTACAATCTACCGTTGTTTTCGCTCCATAAGACGCGCCTAGGTTTTAGAGGAGGAGAACAAGAATTAAAATATTCTGAACCAATGGACTGCAGACATAGTACAGGAGATGACCAGAGACTGTGGATGTACTACAGGAGATGACCAAAGACTGCGGACATACTACCGGAGATGACCAGAGACTGCGGACACAGTACAGGAGATGACCAAAGACTGCGGACATAGTACTGGAGATGACCAGAGACTGCGGACACAGTACAGGAGATGACCAGAGACTGCGGACATACTACGGAGATGACCAGAGACTGCGGACACAGTACAGGAGATGACCAAAGACTGCGGACATAGTACTGGAGATGACCAGAGACTGCGGACACAGTACAGGAGATGACCAGAGACTGCGGACATACTACCGGAGATGACCAGAGACTGCGGACACAGTACAGAAGGTGACCAGAGATTGCGGACGCGGTACAGGAGATGACCAGAGACTGCGGACATAGTACAGGAAATGACCAGAGACTGCGGATGTACTACAGGAGATGACCAGAGACTGCGGATGTACTACAGGAGATGACCAGAGACTGCAGACACAGTACAGAAGATGACCAGAGACTGCAGACACAGTACAGGAGATGACCAGAGACTGCGGACACAGAACAGGAAAATGACCAGAGACTGCAAACATAATACAGGAGATGACCAGAGACTGCGGACATAGTACAGGAGATGACCAGAGACTGCAGACATGCGGCTGTACTACAGGAGATGACCAGAGACTGCGGACATGGTACAGGAGATGACCAGGGACTGCGGACACAATACAGGAGATCACCATCAGAGCCTGCAGACATAGTACTGGAGATGACCAGAGACTGCAGACATAGTACAGGAGGTGACCAGAGACTGCAGACACAGTACAGGAGATGACCAGAGACTGCGGACACGGTACAGGAGGTGACCAGAGACTGCAGACACAGTACAGGAGATGACCAGAGACTGCAGACATGCGGCTGTACTTAAGGAGATGACCAGAGACTGCGGACATGGTACAGGAGATAACCAGAGACTGCGGACATAGTACAGGAGATAACCAGAGACTGCGGACACAATACAGGAGATCATCAGAGACTGCAGACATAGTACAGGAGATGACCAGAGACTGCGGACATAGTACAGGAGATGACCAGAGACTGCAGGCACAGTACAGGAGATGACCGGAGACTGCGGACATAGTACAGGAGATGACCGGAGACTGCGGACATAGTACAGGAGATGACCGGAGACTGCGGACATAGTACAGGAGATGACCGGAGACTGCGGACATAGTACAGGAGATGACCAGAGACTGCGGACATAGTACAGGAGATGACCGGAGACTGCGGACATAGTACAGGAGATGACCAGAGACTGCAGACACAATACAGGAGATGACCAGAGACTGCAGACACAATACAGGAGATGACCAGAGACTGCGGACATAATACAGGAGATGACCAGAGACTGCGGACACAGTACAGGAGATGACCAGAGACTGCGGACACAGTACAGGAGATGGCCAGAGACTGCGGACCTGTCCTTGTTGTCTCCAGTCAGTTACCGGTCAGTATTACCCACATTGAACTGCTTGAGATTTCAGCTCAGTGCACAGGACAAGGACGCTGGATTTCTGGCAGGCTCGAGCAGTATTTCTATGCCTGACAAAATTTTATTTAGCTTGAAAAAAGACAACCAGTGCACCCGCCCAGGGGCGTCCCTAGGGTTGGTGTCACCCGGTGCGGTAACACTTGGTGACACCCCCTCCGATGATCCCCGCAGAACGGATCAGATCTGTGGATTGAGCATAATGGATCGGACTCCAATCCATTATGCTCCCCAATCCACAGATCTGATCCGTTCTGCGGGGTTCGTCGGCTTTCTTTACAACTTACCTTTTCGTGGAGCGTTCCGGTGTCACCCCCGTGCGGTCAGTGTCACCTGGTGTGGGCCGCACCTGCCTCGGGACGTCACTGCAGCCGCCACATCTAAGGACCGGTGGACTGCAATATATTCATTTTTTTTTCTAGTTTATATATGCTTTAAAGGTTATTTATCAGCCAATCATAATTCAGCACTGCCCGCTGTGACGTTTGTTGGAAAAGGGCGTGTTTGTATGATAACAATACAATTCTGTTCCTCCTGAGCTAGAACTATTTTTAATGTGTAATATTAATCTGTTGCCTGTCCTCAGGTCCCTCTGCCTGGGATGAAGTGGGTCGATAACCACAAAGGTGTCTTCAATGTTGAAGTGGTCTCTGTGTCTTCGGTTCACACTCAGGTATGTTTCAATGAACACCGATGTGTAATGGAATGTAGACTGAACTTTGTCTTTCTTGTTACCCTCAACATTTATTTCTAGGACTCCTAGAGTACTCATTAACCACTTCAAGTCCGGACACTTTCACCCCCTTCCTGTCCAGGCCAATTTTCAGCTTTCAGTGCTATCACACTTTGAATGACAATTGCGCGGTCATGCAACACTGTACCCATATGAATTTTTTAGCATTTTTTTGAGACAGATAAAACTTTATTTTGGTGGTATTTATTCACCACTGGGATTTTTATTTTTTTTGCTATATAAATGAAAATGTTCAAAAATGTTGAAAAAAAGTGTTCTTCTTACACAATTTTGCAAATAAATAATCTTTCTTCATAAATCTTGGCCAAAATGTATTCAGTTATCTTTTTAGTAAAAAAAAAAAAAAATAACCCAAATTAGTTTATAACCAAAAATTCTAATTTTTCAAAAATTTTTTTTTTTACATTTTTATTTTACTTTTTTTATATTATTAGTTTTTTTTTGTTTGTTTTTTTTACATACTGTCACCCTAGCAGTACAGTGTCACCATAGTGACACTGTACTACTTGTGGGGGGCGATGAAGATTTTTTTTTTTACACTGATTGCTTTTACACCCATAAAGGCTGTAAAAGCAATCATTTCTCCTTCTCTCTGGCTGCATTCTTGCAACCATTGAGTAATACTTTGTGAGCTGTGATTGGTCACAACTTGTCACATGGTACAAGGCTGTTGTGAATAGCCTTGTACCATGTGATCTCTGTGATCATTCACAGATTTCACACGTAGTAAGCAATGATGTCAGAAGTGACATCTTACTACTCTTCATGTGATCACTGATTGGCCAATCAGTGATCACATGATCGGGACCTCACACAGAGGTCCCGTACAACGATCGGTGTTCCACTGTGTCTGGAGGACACAGCAGGCACCGGATTGTGGTGAAACCTGGGCAGTTTCAGATAATCATCTGACAAAAAAAGGAGACTGAAAAAACTGAACAAAAAAAAATCAAAGAAGAGAGTAAAGAATACACCGGAAAAGAAGAAAAAAAAAAAAAAAAGAGGAAAGGAAAGTCAATATATCATTAAAACATTCTATTAACATTCTGCCGTCAGCTAATAATGGAATCTTCTGCTCTTCCTACCAGTCCATCCCCCACAGTTACTACCTTTTGTACCACTAGCCCCTCCCTCCTAGATTGTAAGCTCCCAGGATCAGGGCCCTCCTATCCCTCTTGTATTGAACTGTATTGTTGCTGTATTGTCTCCCTTTATATTGTAAAACGCTGAGCAAACTGTTGGTGCTACATAAATCCTGTATAATAATAATAATTAACACATACAAAATGAATATCCAAATGCTTGAAAATACATTTCAGAGCAATTCAAGCTACTTATTATGTTCTAATGTTGTGTAATCCAATATTGATCCAGTGGTATCCCCCATAACTGATTTCCATCTTATAACCTTTGAATTTTGATCATAGATACATTCAGCCTGGGATTTATTTTATATATATATATATATATATATATATATATATATATTTTATAAATATATATTTTATATATATAAATATTTATTTATTTTATATATATAAAATATTTATTTATTTTATATATATATATATATATATATATATATATATTTATTTATTTATTTTTTATATATTTATTTTATATATATATATTTATTTATATATATATTTATTTATATATATATATATATATATATATATATATATATATATATATATATATTTATTTATATATATATATATATATATATATATATTATTTATATATATATATATATTTATTTTTATTTTTTATATATATATATTATATATATATATATATATATATATATATATATATATAAAAGGCTGTGCAGTGGCTCCACTTTACACGTGAGGATCAGCTCGAACAAACACTCTCTTGTTTATTTAAAGATCTGAACATGCTTGCTGGTCCTTTGCTCTAGTTTGTAACCGCGATGACCCGATCATGTACTGTAGATATAGTCTTGGCCGCAGGGCCTAAATTTAGAGTGCTGTAACATCAACTGATGCCAAAGAACTTTCAGTTGGTGTTTTAAAAGATCTGATATGTGCACAATGGTAGACGCCTACTTTTAATCACATTAACTGGATGTTATCTAATACTTGATCTTCTTTATGTAATTCTAATTATTTACTAAAGTCATATGTTTGACCTGATGAGCTTTTTTTTTGTCCCCATGGAGCACAGTTGCATATAAATCTTCAGTATTGTTCGGAATAGACAGGGCTTTTTTTAGCGGGAATGTGGGGAAACGAAGTTCTGGCACCTGAAGCGGCTGAAAAAAGCTTACCGTATTTTTCGCCGTATAAGACGCACTTTTTCTTCCCCAAAACTGGGGGGGAAATGTCAGTGCGTCTTATGGGGCGAATATGGAGCGGGCCGGTCCGGCATTTCCACCGCGGCCGTGTCAGAATACCGGGCCGGCCACTCAGCTCTGCAGCGGGACCTTACCTGTTCCTCTATCCAGCGGCGCGCTGTCTTCCGGCTTCTGTAGTGTGGGCACTGGGCATGACAGCCGGGTGCCAAGTGCGCATGCGCATGAAGCGGTGCTTTTTGTGAATGGTAAGGCGGTACCTGGGACACATGACAGATCCCAGAAGCCGCCGGACCAATTACAAAGCGCAAGTGCTTCTCGCTCATGCGCACTGGGCACCCGGCTGTCATGCCGAGCGCCATTACAGAAGCCGGGAAGACAGCGCGCGGCTGGATCGAGGAACAGATAAGATCAAAGAACAACTCCGCGGAAGTAAGAGCGGGTACCTGTCAAATTCAGGAACCCGCTCCCCACCTCCCCAAAGGTCAGCAGTCATCTGTACTGTCCGCAGTCTCTAGTCATCCCTGTGCTGTCCGCAGTCTCTGGTCATCCCTGTGCTGTCCGCAGTCTCTGGTCATCCCTGTGCTGTCCGCAGTCTCTGGTCATCTCCTGTACTGTGTCTGCAGTCCATTAGTTCAGAATTTTTTTTTTCCTTTTTTCTGCCTCTGCCTAAAACCTAGGTGCGTCTTATGGAGCGAAAAATACAGTAGATGTGAACGTGTCCCATAGGTAACCATATTAAATGTACTGTAGTGCACTTCTGCAAAAAGCACCAAAAAAACGCATAGGTGTGAACCAGGCCTTAAACAGTTTTCACCAGGACTGGTTTTCAACAGGACCCCTTTTCAGTATTGTCCCATCTGCTGTTTCAGTGACAACCATTACATTTTGTATAGAGAAAGGATGGTAGGAGATTGTTCCAGATACAAATTTAGATTTTTGCAAATAAATGTAAAAAGCCCCCACGCCAATAAAAATGACTAAATAAGCTGCCACCCTGCAGTGACCAAAAATCACCAAATACAAATAAACTCTCTATGGGGGGCGCTGTGTGATCCCACCCTTAGTGCACCAAATCAATAAGCTGATGTGCTCTGCACTAATACACCAACATCATATCTTAACCACTTCCAGTCCGGACACTTTCACCCCCTTCCTGTCCAGGCCAATTTTCAGCTTTCAGCGCTATCACACTTTGAATGACAATTACGCGGTCATGCAACACTGTACCCATATGAATTTTTTAGCATTTTTTTGAGACAGATAAAACTTTATTTTGGTGGTATTTATTCACCACTGGGATTTTTATTTTTTTTGCTATATAAATGAAAATGTTCAAAAATGTTGAAAAAAAGTGTTCTTCTTACACAATTTTGCAAATAAATAATCTTTCTTCATAAATCTTGGCCAAAATGTATTCAGTTATCTTTTTAGTAAAAAAAAATAAATAACCCAAATTAGTTTATAACCAAAAATTCTAATTTTTCAAAAATTTTTTTTTTACATTTTTATTTTACTTTTTTATATTATTAGTTTTTTTTTTTCGTTTTTTTTACATACTGTCACCCTAGCAGTACAGTGTCACCATAGTGACACTGTACTACTTGTGGGGGGCGATGAAGATTTTTTTTTACACTGATTGCTTTTACACACCCATAAAGGCTGTAAAAGCAATCATTTCTCCTTCTCTCTGGCTGCATTCTTGCAACCATTGAGTAATACTTTGTGAGCTGTGATTGGTCACAACTTGTCACATGGTACAAGGCTGTTGTGAATAGCCTTGTACCATGTGATCTCTGTGATCATTCACAGATTTCACACGTAGTAAGCAATGATGTCAGAAGTGACATCTTACTACTCTTCATGTGATCACTGATTGGCCAATCAGTGATCACATGATCGGGACCTCACACAGAGGTCCCGTACAACGATCGGTGTTCCACTGTGTCTGGAGGACACAGCAGGCACCGGATTGTGGTGAAACCTGGGCAGTTTCAGATAATCATCTGACAAAAAAAAGGAGACTGAAAAAACTGAACAAAAAAAATCAAAGAAGAGAGTAAAGAATACACCGGAAAAGAAAAAAAAAAAAAAAAAAGAGGAAGGAAAGTCAATATATCATTAAAACATTCTATTAACATTCTGCCGTCAGCTAATAATGGAATCTTCTGCTCTTCCTACCAGTCCATCCCCCACAGTTACTACCTTTTGTACCACTAGCCCCTCCCTCCTAGATTGTAAGCTCCCAGGATCAGGGCCCTCCTATCCCTCTTGTATTGAACTGTATTGTTGCTGTATTGTCTCCCTTTATATTGTAAAACGCTGAGCAAACTGTTGGTGCTAACATAAATCCTGTATAATAATAATAATTAACACATACAAAATGAATATCCAAATGCTTGAAAATACATTTCAGAGCAATTCAAGCTACTTATTATGTTCTAATGTTGTGTAATCCAATATTGATCCAGTGGTATCCCCCATAACTGATTTCCATCTTATAACCTTTGAATTTTGATCATAGATACATTCAGCCTGGGATTATTTTATATATATATATATATATATATATATATATATATATTTTTATAAATATATATTTTATATATATAAATATTTATTTATTTTATATATATAAATATTTATTTATTTTATATATATATATGTTATATATATATATATATTATAATTTATTTATTTATTTTATATTATTTATTTATATTATATTTATTTTATATATATATTTATTTATTATATATATATATATATTATTTATATATATATTTATTTATATATATATATATATATATATATATATTTATATATATATATATATTTATTTTTATTTATATATATATATATATATATATATATATATATATATATATATATATATATATATATATATATATAAAAGGCTGTGCAGTGGCTCCACTTTACACGTGAGGATCAGCTCGAACAAACACTCTCTTGTTTATTTAAAGATCTGAACATGCTTGCTGGTCCTTTGCTCTAGTTTGTAACCGCGATGACCCGATCATGTACTGTAGATATAGTCTTGGCCGCAGGGCCTAAATTTAGAGTGCTGTAACATCAACTGATGCCAAAGAACTTTCAGTTGGTGTTTTAAAAGATCTGATATGTGCACAATGGTAGAACGCCTACTTTTAATCACATTAACTGGATGTTATCTAATACTTGATCTTCTTTATGTAATTCTAATTATTTACTAAAGTCATATGTTTGACCTGATGAGCTTTTTTTTTGTCCCCATGGAGCACAGTTGCATATAAATCTTCAGTATTGTTCGGAATAGACAGGGCTTTTTTTTAGCGGGGAATGTGGGGAAACGAAGTTCTGGCACCTGAAGCGGCTGAAAAAAGCTTACCGTATTTTTCGCCGTATAAGACGCACTTTTTCTTCCCCAAAACTGGGGGGGAAATGTCAGTGCGTCTTATGGGGCGAATATGGAGCGGCCGGTCCGGTATTTCCACCGCGGCCGTGTCAGAATACCGGGCCCGGCCACTCAGCTCTGCAGCGGGACCTTACCTGTTTTCCTCTATCCAGCGGCGCGCTGTCTTCCGGCTTCTGTAGTGTGGGCACTGGGCATGAACAGCCGGGGTGCCAAGTGCGCGCATGCGCATGAAGCGGTGCTTTTTGTGAATGGTAAGGCGGTACCTGGGACACATGACAGATCCCAGAAGCCGCCGGACCAATTACAAAGCGCAAGTGCTTCTCGCTCATGCGCACTGGGCACCCGCTGTCATGCCGAGCGCCATTACAGAAGCCGGGAAGACAGCGCGCGGCTGGATCGAGGAACAGATAAGATCAAAGAACAACTCCGCGGAAGTAAAGCGGGTACCTGTCAAATTCAGGTACCCGCTCCCCACCTCCCCAAAGGTCAGCAGTCATCTGTACTGTCCGCAGTCTCTAGTCATCCCTGTGCTGTCCGCAGTCTCTGGTCATCCTGTGCTGTCCGCAGTCTCTGGTCATCCCTGTGCTGTCCGCAGTCTCTGGTCATCCCTGTGCTGTCCGCAGTCTCTGGTCATCCCTGTGCTGTCCGCAGTCTCTGGTCATCTCCTGTACTGTGTCCGCAGTCTCTGGTCATCCCTGTGCTGTCCGCAGTCTCTGGTCATCCCTGTGCTGTCCGCAGTCTCTGGTCATCCCTGTGCTGTCCGCAGTCTCTGGTCATCCCTGTGCTGTCCGCAGTCTCTAGGTCATCTCCTGTACTGTGTCTGCAGTCTCTGGTCATCCCCCCTGTGCTGTCCGCAGTCTCTGGTCATCCCTGTACTGTCCGCAGTCTCTGGTCATCTCCTGTACTGTGTCCGCAGTCTCTGGTCATCCCTGTGCTGTCCGCAGTCTCTGGTCATCCCTGTGCTGTCCGCAGTCTCTGGTCATCCCCTGTGCTGTCCGCAGTCTCTGGTCATCTCCTGTACTGTGTCTGCAGTCTCTGGTCATCCCTGTGCTGTCCGCAGTCTCTGGTCATCCCTGTACTGTCCGCAGTCTCTGTCATCTCCTGTACTGTGTCTGCAGTCCATTAGTTCAGAATTTTTTTTTTCCTGTTTTCTGCCTCTAAACCTAGGTGCGTCTTATGGTCAGGTGCGTCTTATGGAGCGAAAAATACAGTAGATGTGAACGTGTCCCATAGGTAACCATATTAAATGTACTGTAGTGCACTTCTGCAAAAAGCACCAAAAAACGCATAGGTGTGAACCAGGCCTTAAACCAGTTTTCACCAGGACTGGTTTTCAACAGGACCCCTTTTCAGTATTGTCCCATCTGCTGTTTCAGTGACAACCATTACATTTTGTATAGAGAAAGGATGGTAGGAGATTGTTCCAGATACAAATTTAGATTTTTGCAAATAAATGTAAAAAGCCCCCACGCCAATAAAAATGACTAAATAAGCTGCCACCCTGCAGTGACCAAAATCACCAAATACAAATAAACTCTCTATGGGGGGCGCTGTGTGATCCCACCCTTAGTGCACCAAATCAATAAGCTGATGTGCTCTGCACTAATACACCAACATCATATCTTAACCACTTCCAGTCCGGACACTTTCACCCCCTTCCTGTCCAGGCCAATTTTCAGCTTTCAGCGCCGTCACACTTTGAATGACAATTGCGCGGTCATGTAACACTGTACCCATATGCATTTTTTTTAGAATTTTTTTTGAGACAGATAAAGCTTTTATTTTGGTGGTATTTATTCACCGCTGGGATTTTTATTTTTTTTGCTATGTAAATGAAAAAGTCGAAAAATTTTGAAAGAAATTTTTTTTCTTATAAAATTTTG